TAAAATTTGAACATAATCAGTGAAAGCAAGTCAGACATGTGGCACAAGAACCACATTCATTAAAACAAAATGGCCACCAGTCAGCCATTTTGAATCTAATCTGAAAAACAAAATTATTTGCATCAAGGTCCCATAATGTCTAATGTACCGGTATATACCAAGTTTGAACAAAATCCATCTGTAAACAGCCGAGAAATGCTTGATTTTTATGATTTTTTAGCATAAAAATGGTCGCCATTCAGCCATCTTGAATCAGATCGTAAAACAAAATGATGTGCATCAAGATCCTATAATGTCCAACGTATATACAAGGTTTGAACAAAATCCTTCTGTAAACAGCAGAAAAATGCTTGATTTTGATGATTTTAGCACAAAAATGGCCGCCATTCGGCCATCTTGAATCAGATTGTGAAACAAATTGACGTGCTTATGTATAATATCATGTATGATGTATGATGTATGTGTGAAGTTTGATTATGATTGGTCCAGGCATTTCTAAAATACAGGTCCGGACGCACGCACACACGCACAGACGCACGTACAGACACACGGAGGTCAAAACATAAGTCCCCGTTTTCGGGCTACACAGCCCTTTCATGTATTCCCAAACATGAATACGACTTCTATAGCAAAAATGCATTATGTGTCAGTACTAACACTTGCAATTTTGCACATAAAAAAAATTCAACTGTCACCTGGCACAAAAACATTTAAACATAGTTGAACTCTGGTGACCTTGCCCTTTGTTATATAATATAATTCCCTTTATCATAGTTTAGCTGGCTTTTGTCAAGTATTTTGTATAGGTGTCTGTCAAAAATTAATGATTCACTGAGACAAATATGAACTGCCTCATTGTGTGACTACTGTATTATATGAAAAGTAAAAAAAAAACACCCTTTATGAATAGCTATCATGTTGCAAGCTCTGCTTTGTATGCAAATCAACTTAAATAGTTAGTTGGTGTCCAGTGGAGGGAGAAGTCAACAGTACCGTTTCCCCGTTGCTTCCTGAGAATCTACATCTTCAAACACTGCAATCTTTGAAGTGCATTTTTAAACCAGTATTATAAAAACTCTATCATTCTGTTCTAATAGCTGAAACATATTCCTGTGAGTTTTCATTTGTCGAATGAACTGTTTGTCAAATACAGAATACATATATTTTTAGAACAATTTTCTTTTTAAAAAATGTGGATGAAATGTTTTGCTTTTTATGTATTTTTTATGTATTGTTTTTGATTTGATAACTTTGAACTAAACAGATTTTCTATTAGCTTCAGATCTTGATCAAAGTTTGGCACCCAGTTCATAGGAGTGCTTATATTGATTTTCTGACATCTTGTTTTCTGTAAAGATTTTATTGGTAGGTTTGCAAATGTGTATCAGACTGTGCAATCTCTCCATGAGTTGGTTTTGAAACCCAGTATGAGATTCTGGGATACATTACCAAGGATATTATTACAAGATAAATCATTTGCTTCATACAACACATACAACAATGCATATTTCCACTGAGATCAGTGACCTTTGATGTGTATCACCAGTGATCAGTCAAGTAGAAACAGTCACAATATTTTATCAGATTTTCTCAGATTTTTATCAGATTTTTGCATGATATTTTCATACAGGACATCTGTTGTTCAAACTCAGGGAAGACTTTATACTGATGAATAAGATGACCAAGTTTGATGAAGTTTGGAATAGAATTAGTAAAGTTATTATGCACACAATAACAATTATTAACGATGGTGACGACGACAACAACAACGACAACGACGGACAAAATTTTTCTCTTAATATACCTTTCCCTTCCATCTTTGATGGTACGGGCAAGGTAAAAAAAAATAAATAAAATCTTTCAACTAACTCATATCATCAGCTTTTGAAAATTTGCCCACTGTTCTGCCTAAGCAAGAAAAACAAACATGCAAATTATCTTTGGCTATAGCGTAATACTTTTGGAGGTATTCTGGGAGTAAAAAACTGTGTCATGGTCATATTTACTCAGCGAAACACACATATCACCTCTTTCTTCTCATTTTCTCTGAAAAAAAACACATCTTTTTCAACTGACAAACCAATGAAACAATCAATCAAACTGGTTTGAATATGTTTTTTCTTTCGGGATTGCATGTCTATTGATCTTTTTTGACTTTTTATATTTCTGTCCTACCCTGCCCGGTAGGTTACGCATGCGCAAATAGAATTACATCGCGTCTGTGGGTAAATCAGGAATCGGGAATTCTTTGCTTAAAATACTGCTTGACTGAAAGTTTTGATACAAATCTCATAATCTCATTTAAAGTGCCTGTGCAATGCCCACCGTCACGTTTCCCATTTTAGATCTGTGTCCCACTGAAAAGGGTAGTTATTGATTTTTTTGCTGTTCTCGTGTTGTAGCCACGCCCACCTATCGTGAAACGGTCGACTGTTTCCGGATTTCCGACTCTCACCGAAAGTGCGCCACCAAATGACAAAATGTGAGAGGAAGTTATACGCCTGAGCCGTAATAACACTGGTTGTTCAGTATACTTTTAAACGATATACATTTTTCGGTCGGCATTTTTTCTTTTTTTCTGTCTATTTTCTTTTTTTTGAGAGAGAGTTTTTAGATGTTGTGTTGTGGGCAGTTGCAGTGAAACGTATAGCCATAGTGTATGTATTCACATGTTTCTAATCGATCCGAAGGTGCGACATCACTTAACCTTTGATTCATTCAACTGTCCTCGTCCATAAAAAACGACTACCG